TTAATGATTATAAAAATTTTTTTAAAAATTTTTACGTCCAAAAAACAAAGAAAAAAAAAAAAAAAAATTAACGATTATAAAAATTTTATTAGAAATTTTTACTTTCAAAAAAAAAAAATTGACGTCATACCACATATAAAATTTCTTAATAAAATGATGTAAATTAAATTGAGAAATTTATCGAGCAAAAATAATAAATATTAATAAAATAATTGATTTCTTTTAAAAAAAATACGAGTTATGCGTATCTTTTTGATACGTACGTTTGACATACGTTTAATTATTTTCAATATTCGTTTAGATCATTCGATATATTTATGATATAGTTCTCAGAATGAGCTTCAACGGAATATAGAAGATTTATGGATTCGACTAATGTACAATCATCGAAAAAAATTTAAAGTTAGCTTGTTATCGAAATTCTCGAAATATTAGTTTGGAACGATCTACTTTGACGCCCCGTAACATTTGCTACGATTGACCATTTTGTGCTCCGTTAACGACGTGAAATACTAAGGCATGAGTACTTTAAAATGATATTAAAAATGTAATATTTCAATTTCATTTGATATTTCGTAATGAGTTCGAAAATTAAGATAAAAATATAAATAATTTATTGAATTTATAAACAATTCCAGCCATCCCTTCATTTTTCTGCCAACAGTTCCTCTCCTTTTTCCTTTTACCACACAGCGACACGTCACCTTTTTTGAATTTCTGTAGAGCTTCTGTGAAGAAGCTTCTGTACGTATAGCATTATTGAAAAGGAAAAAGGAGAGGAACTGTTGGCAGAAAAAGGAAAGGACGGCTGGAATTGTTTATAAATTCAATAAATTATCTATATTTTTTTCTTAATTTTCAGGTTCGTTACGAAATATCAAATAAAGTCGAAATATTACATTTTTAATATCATTTTAAAGTACTTACGACCTAGTATTTCACGTCGTTAACAGGGCACGAAAGGCCAATCGTAACAAGTGTTATGGGACATCAAAGTAGGTCGTTCTAAACTAATATTTCGAGAATTTCGATAACAAGCTAATTTTAAAAATTATTCGATGATTGTACGTTAGTCGAATCCATAAATCTTCTATATTCCGTTGAAGCTCATTCCGAGAACTATATCATTGATATATCGAATAATCTAAACGAATATAGAAAATAGTGAAACGTACGTCAAAGTACGTGTCAAAAAGATACGCATAACTCGTTTTTTTTAAAAAGAAATCAATTATTCTATTAATGTTTATTATTTTTTGCTTGATAAATTTCTCAATATAATTTACATCATTTTATTAAAAAAATTTATATGTGGTATGACGTCAAATTTTTTTTTTTGGACTTAAAAATTTCTAAT